TAAAATAAATACGAGAATATATTAATATTACATATTATTTTCATTTCATATAATGATCTACTAAGTTAGGAATAAATAGTTGACATAAAACGACTGTCATTAATTTATTTGACAGGAATTTATTTTTATATACATACATACACATTCAAATAAAAAACACCATCAGCTCTTAAGTTCTTCTAATAGTTAATCATTAGCTGTGCCATATGAGCACCTTTACAAATAGCTTCAGTTTCTCAATATTACGCGCCTAGGGCATTGCAACATTCTTCATAATTCATATGCAAAGAGTTGGTTGCAACATCGTCTAATCGGCGGAGTCAACTGACTTCCATTATATTCTCTGATCAATATTCAACAATCGCAACATCAGCGATATAAACTTCGCGGCAATTGACACTAAAAAGCTGTATTTTTGTAGCGCAGATCCGCACAGATAATCATGAGCTGAAACGCAACTTGGGCGTTTAACTACTCAGTCTATCTCTTTCTCGCTGAGTGTGCGTGGGTGTTGCAACTTGTTGAGTCATGCTCACATTTACTTAGCATGCACCATGGCAGTTGTAGCTGCTGTTACATCTTTTTCTACTGCTGTCAATGGCCCATCAATCAGCCAGACTAAAACGGATTCAATACCGCTTGGGCGTCACTGCCTGTCAACATTGTTGCGTTTCACCCCGTCTCTGGCAACATGTTGCCAAGGCCTGGGCGCACACATGTTGACAAGTGAAATGCATGGCACGTTTACAACTTTAATTGGCTTTTAATGTAATGTATAACATTAAACCGCGACTCCCATCAAAATTTATGAACAACTTTCACACAAACAATGCAGCAAACTAACAGAGACAAGCGACACTGGCAACAAATTGTTGCATTTATTTTATTATTTTTTTTTTTTTTGACAACAGCAACAACCTCGAACGCAGCTGCAATTTTTTTTTAAGTTTTAAGTTTTTTCGTTTTTTTTTTTTTTTTTCTGTTGCGGCATCGCGTGGGCGTTAATTTGCGAGCTTTAATTTAATTATTGCAACAGACACACACAACCAAAAAATTCGATTGAAATTGTTTTTTAATCAAGACAAAAAGGCAATTAACGTATTCGATTGCATTATGCATGCCACATGTGGCGCGACATGCTGCATATACATATATCTGCTTCTCTTTCCTACACATTCGCCGTCGTTGTCTCTGTCACTCTTTGCTTTTTTGCCAGCCCAACTATTTGTTTTAATTGCCTGCAGCAAAGACAATTAGTTGACAGAAAAGCAGCAAGACACTAAAAAAATATTTATATTGACAACAGAGCTAATTACGTTGCCGATTTCGTTGTTGGCTTTTTCGTAGCTCTTGCTGTTTGGATAGGATTTCTGTTAAAAAATGTCAAAAGCAATTAACAAAACCATCTATACATGTATATATATATATATACATGCATATATGGCCATTCAATTCACTCTAGAGCATACAATTCATATGATATCAGTTGTATAAGGAAGTAATTTGCTTTAAACTATATGAAATATACTTTCTAAATTAATTCAATTCCATTACGTTGAGCTATACACAATATCTAGTCAAAATATTGCTAGTATATGTACATATATAGATATATGCATACACATATAAATGCAACAGTTTTTCCCGCTACGCAAATTGAATTGGAAAGTGTGAAACGCCTTCGCTCTGGCAATTTTGGCCAAGCGTCTGGGCCAAGCCCTAGCAGCAAATTGGCCAGCAAACTGTAAATGCTCAAATAATATGCAAAATGTCGATGCCACAGAATGACGGCCCACAGAGAGGGAGAGATAGGGTGAGAGAGAGGGGAGCGGGCTGAGAGTGGGAGGCAAGCATGGTACGCAGTTCAAGCTGCAAAACCGAAAAGTCAGTCAAAAGTGGCCACGCGACAATTAGCACATCATTGACACATGTGCAACACATACTCACACACACACACACACACACGCACCCAAAACACACACACACACACACAGACGCACAGCGGCGTGTGGAGGAAAGTGGTCTGCAGTCTCTCTCTCATCCACTCTCTCCTTCCCTCTCGCTCTGCGTGCATTTGGGTTTGACTTTATTCTGTCGCCGAGAAATGGAGCATTTTATGCTCCAATAAAAATAATTAAGTGGCGTAATTGATAATGACTTTTTTTTTTTGTTTTGTTTTTAAATTTTCATTTGAAATTTCTTTATACACATATTCTGTCTGCTTTATGTCATAATTTTCGTGTGTGAGTGTGTGAAGCGTGACAAATTTATGTGGCAGCGATAAGGCGGGGTGGAAATTTCGACATGCAAACGAACAGCGGCGCGAGCAGCTATGATCAGCCCGATCATTGATAATGGCAATCATTATTGTAATGATACGGACATGGGGATATATCATGATATATCATGTAAACTGAGCGAAGCTGCTGAATCACTTTGTGGCTGCTCGAAATAAACATTGTTAAGCATTGTTGGATTTGATTAGATATGCATTGGAAATTTTTGTAAATAAACTGATCTTTAGCTACTTTGATGTTTTCACCTGCAGCGATCAGCAGTGAATTTCTTCATAAAATCAATTTGTCGGTGGTTTAGCTTGATGCATAAATAAATAAACATAAAATATAAATA